GTGCGCTGACCCGTTTTCCGGTTTGGTCACGTGACGTTCTGCATAACCCCTATTGCTACTTCTTCTAACACTAGAAACAGTTACATTACAAAGGCTATCAACAGAAGCTAGACTGGGCTACATAAACCACATACTGTATAAAGCAACTGGTGAGTATATGTAAACATGTCTGAATTGTATGAGTTACTTTGTTGTATTTCCACATGCACTTCATCCTTTATAGTTTTTCTAGTCCTTTCCAGTGGCCAAAAGTAAATTTGACAGTACAAAGAAGATGTACTTTACCTGTCTTCCAGCAATATGTAGCTGAGTCAGGTGCTTCTCAGATCCAGCATAGTAAACATACAAGAAGTACAACTGGAGCATAGATCTGGCAGTACGCTCTCAAAATAAAAACACATTTCAACATTTACAGAACTTATGTATTTAATAGGAACAAAATAATATATAGCCTAGCATTAAACGCAGTTGAACAGTAGACATTTAACAACAGTTCCTGAGTTCTTACACAAATAATTGACGCTAACGTTTGAAATGACAGTTCTATACTCTTAACACTGACAGGCTCAACACTGCAGATACAGTACTGTATACACTGAACTGTAAATACTGTAATTTCCAAAAAACAGTTTTATTGTCGTACTTATAATAAAGTATGGAGTACAATGTATGAAAATTAAAAGATCAAAACCTTTATGCATTTCCTGTATGTACATTAAAACTGGACGTGTCCAAAAATGACAACAAAATTAGTAAAGCACAGAAGGTCACTTATACACAGAAACAGCACTCTAAAAATTCAACTTTGCCACCTTTATAGTACATACTGATTTTATAGCATAGTGGAATATATGGTTTTCAAACTCAGGCATTAATCTGTATATGAATATAACTGCTATCATCTAATAAAGGCTGATGACTGTGCTGTGCCTTGTGAATCTGAGCGCCTCAGTGTTTTATCATCTGCTATTTACTGTAATGCCTGTACAACTGTGGTCTGTACAAAAGCAAGTTTCAGCTCTTCTCCATGTGAAACAAAGAACATCTTTGTCTTACAAACAAGAACAATGTAAAGAAGTTTTGAAAAATAATTTCATTGTGCTCAGTAAAAAGTTTCAGCATTATAAAAAAAGATTTGTTCAAAAGTGAAGCAATGTAGCTTCCAGCATTTTTTACAATGACACTGGGGCCAAATATGTCATCATTTATATTTATTTATCAGAAATGTCACAGCTTTGACATTTGATGCTTTTATTTTATAACAAAAATATGTTGGAAAATGAGTAAAAAAACAAGGTGTTAAAAACCAATGTTTCAAATCAAAATTAACAGTAGAGAATAAAAATGCTGTTACATTATAAAAAGACTAAACAGTGCCACAAAATGATATTAAAATTACTTTGGCAAGTTGGTTGACTGGATTTTGATGTGCATCAGAGAATGATGTGCTATATTACACCCCAAATGTCACCATCTGAAGCATTATTGTTGCAAGTTAACCTTTTTGTTTTTGTCTTGGTTTCACCTTTTCTGTTGTCTCAGCTGTCAAATGATGAATGAGGACTTGTGGCGAAAGTGGCCCTGTGAAAAACAGAAAGGAGACCGTTTCTACATACAGAACTTCTTTCTTTACTCTAATAGCTTCTTTTTAGCACATTAAGTTTTGAGTCATGCCATAAATGCTGTGTTTGCGTCACAGATCTGGTCTACCTCGTCTGCATCGCCATAGTCGACACCACTGCTCTGTGCTGGCCAATTGTAGCTGAGATACATAATAAAATAAAAAGGGTTGGTACAGTGCAGAATTAAAGTAATTAAAATACAGTGTTGCCTATTTTCTTCTTCAGAACTGTAGATTATACTCACTTATTTTCATTGTGACCTTTTTTGTGGAAGCACCCACGTCTGAAAGAATGACAAATGGCAGCAACCAAACAGGCAAATACGATCAGTGCACCAAAGGCCTTGAGGAAAATCCCGAGGATGTCAACATCATCTGGAACAGGACACACAGATGATATTGTAACAGAGTTAGATGACCTGAGAGGTACAGAGTACTGGTTTTATTTATTTCACATTGTGCTGGAGTCATCTCTTGATTCATTGCTTAGTCTAGCAGATAAATCTGGCAGTGTTGTTGGGACCATGAAGAGAACAAGCTTTATGCGAAAAGGATGAACTGGATCTTCCATCATTTCTGTGGCAGTTCCTGCCTGTTGCAATATGTTTAAACCATCATTCTTGTCTTTGATCCCCTGTCTGCCAGATCTACAGTATCGGTCAAACCTCTCCTTTCATGTATGTTCGACCCTTCTGAGTTTGCTTTTACATTCAAGTCCACTACCGTCCACAAAGATAATGACAATTCTTCTCAAAAATTCTCAGAAATAAGTTTCAAAACTTTGCACATATAGGCATGTTACTCACAGATTTCCATCATTTGTGGGGAACACTGTGCATATCCCGCATCATTTTTTGCCTGGCAGTAGTACTCCCCTGCGTCCTCCTTCCTCACCCTTCGAAATTTCTGAGGAAACATTTTTAGAACATTTTCAGTGCAATGATACACATTTGCATTGTCAACAAAAACACTAGAAGATGTCTGCCTATGGTTAAATTCTTCTTGCTGATTATCTGTAATTCTGCTGTAATATTTTGTGATATGGAATTGAAATGTTTACTAACATGGTTGAATTTGGAAGACCTTTTGCAGTTTTTTGTTTTTGAAGTAAACCTTAAGCACATCACCTTGGCTTTGAATGCAATATTATCCTTCTCTCATTTGCCAGTTTACAGTTGAGCTTCTGCACTAGGCTCTTTTTATATGAATGGATTAATCCTGGTCTTACTCATACAGCGGTTATAGGTTTATTCAGATTAAGCTGTTCACATTTACATTAGATAAGCTGTCACCAAGTATCCTTCATAGTTTGGAGCCCAGAAACAGAACAAGCTGCTTCCTCCCCATTCACCTGAGACTGATTACAGGCAGATTTTTAGTGATATAGCAATAGTAGCTGCTTCCTCCCCATTCACCTGAGACAGATTACAGGCAGATTTCTAGTAATATAGCAATAGCAACAGGGAATATGGCATGTTTCCATGCTTTTAGTCATAGTTTAATAGTTTGTGGAAGATGATGAACACTAAAATAAATAAACAAGTAAATGTACCAATAACAGGCAAGGCTATACCCCTGTCTTTCTTACCAGACCTCCAGTGTCAGGGTTGATGCTGTAGGAAGAGTTGACAAACTTCAGGTTGGTTTTGGGGTCCTGAGGAAGCTCTTCGTCATTGTGGAACCAGCGGTACTGAGGAGCAGGAAATCCCTCATTCTCCAGACATCTCAGCTCGGTTGATGTTCCCACTGTGACCGCCTCTGGCACACTGCACCGTGGTACAACGGGTTTCACTGCACAGAGACAGACTCGTGATACCACATTTACAAAGACAGGCAACAACTGATTCATCTACTGATTCTTGTTTGCTGCATAAAATGTCCAAATACGACAAGCAATCATTACAAATTAATAGTCGGATTTAATTAAATAAAGGAATAGTCCAACATTTTAGGAAATGCACTTATTTGATTTTTCCTGAGAGCTGGATAAGAAGATTGATGTCATTCTTCTATCTGTTCCTTGGATACAATGCTATAGCCAGAGGATGACTAATTTAGCTTAGCATAAAAAACTGGACACAGTGGAAGTAAATAAGTAAATCTTAGCATATTTACTTCCACTGTTTCCAATTTGTAAGTATATATGGCACTTTTCAAATCAAACTGTACAAAGTATTAAATATCAAACAAGTAGCATAGTAACAAAGACAAAATGCCACAAAGAAGAATTTATATAACAGAAATACAGTCAACAAAAAAGTATTCCAAAATATATCTATTCTAATAATACAATAATAAGAGATAAACTATTCAGTTTTAGGGCCAAAGATGACAAAAGCTTGGCAACCCTTCATTCTAAACTGAATTCTGAGTACATCTAGCTCTTGGTTAGCTGATCTGAGAGACCTGATGTTACTATGTACACACAGGTTCCGAAGCACATCCATCATGTATTTTCTAAACTCTCTGTGTAAACAGGGAGAACAGCTGAGGTTGCTGTAACAGTAACGAGACTTAAGGAACTCACTGGGCCCTGGCAATATTACAGCACATTACTCCTTGCAAAATGGCAAATGTTTGATTGTCAACTTCAGTTTTTCCACATATTAAACAAATGAGATATCATGTTTTAAATAGTGAGCTTTAATGCTGTAGGTAGGCTGGTTTTGTTACCTCTGGACAGAGCCAGGCTAGTTGCAAGCAGCCAAAAGCTAAGCTAACTGGCTTATGAATGTACGATTGGTATTAATCTTCTCATCTAAGTCTCAGCAAAAAAGCAAACAAGTGAATCCCTACAGAATGTCAAACTACTGCATTGCAATTTGTCTAACAACAAACAAACCCTACAATATTTATTCTACAATAATATAAAAGCACAAAAAAGCAACTAAAAGCAACTCAGATTTCTAAAGTGCAGCGTAATTTTCGGCTTTTCTCTCATGTGCTGTAGCCAATCATGGAATAGTCAGTGATGTGGTATCCCTACAAAGTACCCACACAGCATACCTCTTACTGCAAGACTAATAAGTATCTCATCAAAGTCCCTTTGATCATCAATGGCGGCCACCTCGCAGCGGTACTCTGCAGTGTCTGACCGAGTGGTGTTGAAGATCAGAATGTTGGCTGGCTCTCGGAGCTGTGCTCTGTGCTCCAAGTCCCCTTTTAAGAGAGAGGGAAAAAAGCCTTTGACAATTGCTCATTCAAATACACAGCATGACTTCACAGTTCAAAAACAGAATTCAGTGCCAAGTTCTTTCTAGGTACCATTCGTTCAGCTAAGATTTGAGTCCTGAAATGTTGCTTTGTAATGCTGTGGTCTACTGGTTCCAGAAAGAGAGTGTCCAAGCGGTTTACCTGCTATCTTGTTTTGAAAGTACACATAACTGGGGACACCATTTTTAATCTTTTTCCATTCAATCCTCGGGTTGTTTGTTGAGATGGACTCTATTAAACAGGTCAGTTCGATGGCTGTGAAGGAAACAATGTACTGTATAAAAGCAGGAGAAAGGGAACCCATGTCAGGAAAAGAAAAGCTATTTTGCCTAAACAGGTTAGAGTGCTTTTCCAGCAACTTACGCTCAAACTCATTTGCCCACACAATCTTGTCCGTGGTTCGAAGGATTACCCCGAGTGATGATGGAATATGGCCTGTGGGGAAGAAACAAAGAAACAGGAAGAAAGACACAAAATGCTACGTAACCATAATGGCACACACAAGCTTTGTCTTTAGCAGACAGTATCAACTGGCCATGTTGCCTAATAAATAGTGGGTTAAAGTGATAAATATAGAAACCAAAATAGTCTGAGAGCCTTAGGATTTGATAAGGTGACATATCTTATTAATCACATCCCATTTCTGTTTAACAAGATTAACACCTGAGGCCAAAATGTGTAAGTTGTAAAAGTTTAATGAACATGTGTGCTGCACACTATACTCTTTTGGCATAACCTAATTCCTAAGAAGAAATATTCTGACTTCAGTTTTTGTTGTGGTTTGTTTATAGAGGTTAATTGTGTAGCAATTTGGTGGGAGATGAATGAGCAGCTTCTAAAATTTCAATTGCTGCAATAAAAATACAATGTAAGATACAGTAGTTATTGTCCTGCTGGACAGTGGCACCTTTTGTATTGTTTTGGCTTTACTCCAGCATGCTGCATTTGAAATGAAGCCCTGACTGAGGTTAAAGTGCTAACATTTAGCTTTTCAAGCTTTTTGTCTGAGGGTGTGGACATGCATACTGGTGAGCCGACACAGGAGGTCATCACCTCACACGTACTGTAACCCCTACAGTTTTAGGGCAATACAGCAGGACAATAACTACTGTATAAGGCTACTGATGTGGTAACCAAAGAGTTTTTAGAGCCAGAGTCAATTTATTTATATTTAAAAGGCATATATAATCTTCTCAACTAACTCTCAGCAAGAAAGTAAGGTAAGTAAGTACAGTAAGTAAGTAAGTGTGTTTTCCTATAAAATTGTGTTTTGTGAGAACATGAACTAAACCTGTGATGTGCAGCATATGTTTCTGTTCACCTGTTAACCCACAGGAATACAAATCTAGGTGCACTTTAAGTCTTAGCCAGTCAGTGGTATGATATTCCAACTGTATAACAAGAACCATACACACAAGCAACCAAGCAGCTTTTCTAGGGCTTCAATTACTGAAGACTAAGACAGGGAAAAAAAAGCTGCCAACAATTCAAATGTTAAGGTAGGACTCTGATCTTTGTGTTAAGTGCTGCCAGGCCTGAAAAGACTACAAGTATAAATAAGGATAAACATACAAATAATCAAGTATATTTGTTTTACTGTGTATGATCCTCATACATGTTTTTTTTTTTAACAACTGACTTTTATTCTGAAAGGTAAAGGTCTTTGGGTGGATAAGCTATCAAAAATAATAATAATAATAAAAGAGAGTGTATTCAGACACAAAGTGGATTACAGTGACAACTTGCCTCTGAGGAGCTGGAACTGATCATTGTTGTGTCACCCAAAAGTGTTCCCAGTTATTTCCTCTAGCAAATCCTTTCAGCACTTGGGCCAATGTGCTATCCATGCAGTTAGGCTATTCACTGTGGGTGGGGGTGGGGGGCAAACTCTTGTTTAAAAGCCACACGCACTAAAACCTTACAAAATGCAAAGGCTTTGTGTGACACGAAATTACACTGAGCTTTACAGAGTTGATCATTTATCCAAATCCCTAAACAAAACAAATAAGAGGCACAAAAATAACTTGAGAGTGAGAATGTGCTTGAATTTGAAGCCTAGTTAATCAGAGATCGTGGTTTCCCTCTGGCACAAACAACACGAGATTGGAGTTCTCTGCTTCAGTGAACTCCTTAAAACAGTCTGTGTTATTTTGTAAATGTCAGATTTTAATGGCAAAAGGCAGAATTCACAAGTTTTGTTGAAATTGGGCCAGTAGAATGCCAGCTTAAGCTGAAAATAAGTGAATAAGGGGGAGGGCAGGGGTGTGTACAGTACAACACCAAATTAGGAAAATGAAAATTAGAATTTTAAATGTACACATAATTCTACCATGTGTCTGATGTAAAATGCTGAGGATAAATAAGCATGTTTCTACCTTCCACTGGTACCCTGTACTCAACCTATTGTGTCTGTGCCACTTCCAAATGTAGTAATTGCTGGGTACACATGCTACTAACAGCACCCATGCTGGTTAATGAATGCAGTCCTCTCCCAGTGGGGGTGGTATGCAGGGTTTCAAATTGAGGCTGAAATAAGACAATAATAATCATCCCAACAGGCTTTGAATACAGCAAAACATGCCCTCCCATGTGGCCAAGGCATTCTGACTACCTCTGAGGTATTTAGTCAAAGCAGCCTTGTTAGTGCACAACTGACCCTGAGATGTACAGTGTGCTCATGGGTCCTGCAAAGCATCTGGCCACAGAAGCACAGCTGTGGACACTGATGAGATTTGACTCTCGGTCTCAGCTTCAGTCTCTGTTGCTGACTTTCCCACCCTGTACATCAAGAGCTATTTTTATCTCTGCTGTGACTGGGCATCCGTAGAGACACAGAGAGAGCTGGTCCGGAGAAACACGCCTTTAGCATGCGCATGGACTCGCTCCTCAACCCTACAGCTACCCTCTGAACCACTTCTTCTACAACTAAAACAGCATGGAGTAGAGGGCTAAGGCGAAATGACACACTTTCAGGAACAACATAAAAGCTACAGCTCTTTCATAAAATCTGCTACATGAACAATCACACTGCACAGTACATTAGAAAAATCAACAAATGCGCATTTTCAACTCTGATCACCTTGGAGGTTACAACATGACACCGTGTAGCACGTTATTTTGCATTAAAAACAACATGATTAATTTAATTAGCTCATGTTTTGCTGGAGTGCACTCTGTTAGTTAGATAAAGGGTCCTCAGAGACGTCCTTTGCTGCACGTCACCCTCCCCCATGTCCCTTTGGTCAGAAATGTCCAAAAAAACAAGCTAAAAGAAAGTTCATTTCACCTCTACCCAAACAAAACAAAATGTAGGGCGTGGGAAAGAACACAGTCAATTAACAAGACAATGTGTAACTAGGTACTAATACCAGCTCAGAATAAAAGCATTCATACAACAATGCTTGGTCCCCTGGTGACACAATGTGGGCTAAGGAGAAGACCATTTTTCAACATTTTGAAAATAATTTCAGTGCTTGTTGGAAATCAAACACAGGCTCATTTTAATCCGCCTGTTATTGTGATGCATAATCAAAGTACGTCTCTGGCCTGTTCAGAGAGCAAGGCACTTGTAAATAGCCACTTTCTGCAATTCTCTTATGCACTAATATGAAAACAACCTCTCACCCCATCCCAGCAACAAGAGTTGTTGATCCAGTTCATCTATAAAAAGCTTCTTTCCCAGACATTCCAATGCAGTCACAGAAAAATACAGAAGGCAGAGTTAGCTGCCACTGGGGTTCACAACATGCTGGAGAGACTGTTTAATAACTAATCACTCCAGTAGATTAGACTGAGACAGTGGTGTTGTCATTAAAACACAAGTAAGAAATTGGCACAAACTGAATTTCTCCCTTGTGATTCCTAAGGA